TCGGGCGCAGAGCCGCTGTGCCCCCCAGGCCGATGCATCGCGCCGTGGAGCCCCTGGGGGGCCGGGCCGGACGCGACCCCTTCGCCGTGGGGAGCCTGGGCTGGGCCGGCTGCCCCCCACGGGCCTGGCTGCCGCCCCCCAGGTGGGACCCACAGCTGACCCCTGACCCACAGCTGACCCATAACTGACCCATAACTGACCCCTCTGACCCATAACTGACCCAACTGACCCATAACTGACACCCCTGACCCATAACTGACCCCTCACTGACCCATAACTGACCCATAACTGACCCACAGCTGACCCATAACTGACCCATAACTGACCCATAACTGACCTACAGCTGACCCATAACTGACCCATAACTGACCCATAACTGACCCATAACTGACCCATAACTGACCCACAGCTGACCCATAACTGACCCATAACTGACCCATAACTGACCCATAACTGACCCACAGCTGACCCATAACTGACCCATAACTGACCCACAGCTGACCCACAACTGACCCATAACTGACCCATAACTGACCCACAACTGACCCCTCTGACCCACAACTGACCCATAACTGACCCATAACTGACACCCCTGACCCACAGCTGACCCATAACTGACCCCTCTGACCCCTAACTGACCCCTCTGACCCACAACTGACCCATAACTGACCCCTCTGATCCATAACTGACCCATAACTGACCCCTCTGACCCACAACTGACCCATAACTGACCCATAACTGACCCCTCTGATCCATAACTGACCCATAACTGACCCCTCTGATCCATAACTGACCCCCCTGACCTATAACTGACCCATAACTGACCCCTCTGACCCACAACTGACCCACAACTGACCCCTAAGTGACCCCTCTGACCCCCAAGTGACCCCTAACTGACCCCAAGGATCCCCATTTTGGGGGTCTCTCCCCAATTTTGGGGGTCTCTCCTCCATTTTGGGGGTCTCTCCCCAATTTTGGGGGTCTCTCCCCAATTTTGGGGGTCTCTCCTCCATTTTGGGGGTCTCCCCCATTTTGGGGGTCTCCCCCATTTTTGGCCCCCCCTCACTGCCCTGCCCCCCAGGTGCTCCCCCAGCCTCGGCCCGGCGCCGCTGCCCCCCCACCTGGCGCCCCCCCCCAGCGGAAATGGGGGGCCGCCCCTCCCCCACAAGGCCTTCTACCCCCCGGGGTAAGTGCTGACCCCCCCCAAAATCCGTCACCCCAAAATGTGCCCCCCAAAATGTGTCACCTGTACCCCAAAATGTGTCATTTATACCCCAAAATGTGCCACTTATACCCCAAAATGTGCCACTTATACCCCAAAATATGTCATTTATACCCTAAAATGTGTCTGCCCCATCCGAAAATTGGTCCTGGTGGGGTCCCTATGGGGCTGAGCCCCCCCAGATGTCCCCGTGTCCCCCCCGGGCCCCCCTGGACCCCCTCCAGGGCTGTGTTTGGGGGTCCCTATGGGGCAGAGCCCCTCCAGATCCCCATTTTGGGGGGTCCCTATGGGGCAGAGCGCCCCCAGATCCCCATTTTGGGGGGTCCCTATGGGGCAGAACCCCCCCCGATCCCCATTTTGGGGGGTCCCCGGGGGTCCCTATGGGGCAGAGCCCCCCCAAATCTCCATTCTGGGGGGGTCCCTATGGGGCAGAACCCCCCCGATCCCCATTCTGGGGGGTCCCTGTGGGGCTGAGCCCCCCCCGATCCCCATTCTGGGGGTCCCCGGGGGTCCCGGTGGCCCCCACCCCACAGATGTCCCCCCTGTCCCCCCAGAGCCCCCCGGGCCCCCCTGGAGCCCCTCCCGGGCTGCGTCCGGGCGCTGCAGCCCTGGGACCCCCCCGGCCCCGAGGCCACCCCCGAGCTGGAGGAGCCCCCGAGCTGCCACCACGGGCGGCACCGGGGCCACCGGCCCGGGGACATCGGCCACCGGCCTGGGGACATTGGCCACCGGCCCGGGGACAGCGGTCATCGCCCTGGGGACATCGGCCACCGGCCCGGGGACGTCGGCCACCGGCCCGGGGACATCGGCCACCGGCCCGGGGACAGCGGTCATCGCCCCGGGGACATCGGCCACCGGCCTGGGGACATCGGCCACCGGCCCGGGGACATCGGCCACCGGCCTGGGGACATCGGTCATCGCCCTGGGGACATCGGCCACCGGCCCGGGGACGTCGGCCACCGGCCCGGGGACAGCGGTCATCGCCTTGGGGACATCGGTCATCGCCCCGGGGACATCGGTCATCGCCCTGGGGACATCGGCCACCGGCCTGGGGACGTTGGCCACCGCCTTGGGGACATCAGCCAACGCCACGGGGACATTGGCCACCGGCCCGGGGACAGCGGTCATCGCCCCGGGGACATCGGTCATCGCCCCGGGGACGTCGGCCACCGGCCTGGGGACATCGGTCATCGCCCTGGGGACATCGGTCATCGCCCTGGGGACGTCGGCCACCGGCCCGGAGACGTCGGCCACCGGCCCGGGGATGTCGGCCACCGGCCTGGGGACATCGGTCATCGCCCCGGGGACATCGGTCATCGCCCTGGGGACATCGGTCATCGCCCTGGGGACGTCGGCCACCGGCCTGGGGACATCGGTCAACGCCATGGGGACATCGGCCAACGCCATGGGGACGTCGGCCACCGCCTTGGGGATGTTGGCCACCGCCACGGGGACGTCGGCCACCGCCTTGGGGACATCGGCCACCGTCTTGGGGACATCGGTCATCGGCCCGGGGACATCGGTCACCGTCTTGGGGACATCGGCCACCGGCCCGGGGACGTCGGCCACCGGCACGGAGATGTTGGCCACCGCCTTGGGGACATCGGCCACCGGCACGGGGACATCGGCCACCGGCACGGCGGGGACGGCGGCCACCGCGGGGACGTCGTCGGTGGCCACCGAGGGGACATCGCCGCCCGCATCGGGCGCCTGCAGCAGGTGGGGACAGCGAGGGGACAGGGAGGGGACAGGGAGGGGACACTGAGGGGACAGCGAGGGGACAATGGACACTGGGGGAACATTGTGGGGACAGTTGGGAGGACATTGAGGAGACACTGAGAGGACATTGAGGGGACATTTGAGGTGACCTTGTGGGGACATTGAGGAAACATTGAGAGAACTTTGAGGGGACATTGAGGTGACACTGTGGGGACATTGTGGGGACATTGGGGGATATCAAGGGGACATTGAGAGAACTTTGAGGGGACACTGAGGGGACACTGTGGGGACATTGGGGTGATATTGTGGGGACACTGGGGGGACACTGAGGGGACATTGGGGGAAATCAAGGGGACATTGAGAGAACTTTGAGAGGACATTGAGAGGACATTGAGGTGACACTGAGGGGACACTTAGGGGATGTTATGAGGACATTGTGGGGACACTGAGAGAACTTTGAAGGGACACTGAGGGGCCATGGTGGGGACATTGAGGGGACAGTGGCGGGACACTGAGAGGACATTGAGGGGACAGTTGGGAGGACATTGAGGAGACACTGAGGGGACATTGAGGGGACACTGTGGGGACATTGAGGAAACATTGAGAGAACTTTGAGGGGACATTGAGGGACATCCCTGGGGGCTGTCCCCTAGCTCTCCCCATGTCCCTGGGGGTGTCCCCGAGGTGTCCCCCTGTCCCCGAGGTGTCCCCCTGTCCCTGAGGTGTCCCCCTGTCCCTGGGGGTGTCCCCGAGGTGTCCCCCTGTCCCTGAGGTGTCCCCGAGGTGTCCCTGGGGGTGTCCCCGAGGTTTCCCCCTGTCCCTGAGGTGTCCCCGAGGTGTCCCCATGTCCCTGGGGGTGTCCCTGAGGTGTCCCCCTGTCCCCGAGGTGTCCCCGAGGTGTCCCCGAGGTGTCCCCCTGTCCCTGGGCGTGTCCCCAAGGTGTCCCTGAGGTGTCCCCAAGGTGTCCCCCTGTCCCCGAGGTGTCCCTGAGGTGTCCCCAGAGTGTCCCTGAGGTGTCCCCCTGTCCCCGGGGTGTCCCCCTGTCCCCGAGGTGTCCCCATGTCCCTGGGGGTGTCCCTGAGGTGTCCCCAGGGTGTCCCTGAGGTGTCCCCAAGGTGTCCCCATGTCCCTGGGGGTGTCCCTGAGGTGTCCCTGAGGTGTCCCCGAGGTGTCCCCCTGTCCCCGAGGTGTCCCCCTGTCCCTGAGGTGTCCCCGAGGTGTCCCCCCCGTGTCCCT